CGGTACCCAGCGGCTTATGCAATGCGTAACATCAATACTCGGTCCGTTGTAAAAGCCCTGTCTCAATTCATTTCAATCTTCGGTATCCCTAAGGTCATTCAAAGTGACCAGTGTCTAACATGTTCGTGGAAATTTTAAAGCAGTTGGGAGTTCAGCATCACCGTTCCAGCGCATACGATCCTCAGAGTCAGGAAGCCTGGAATTGTTGCACCAAACGCTTAAGTCTCTTTTACGTGCGTATTGCGGTGAATTAAACCGAGACTGGGAGGAAGGAATTCCATGACTTTTGTTGGCCACAAGGGAGGTCACACAGTCTAGTTTGGGTTTTACTCCAAATTAACTAGTTTTTGGGCATAAGGTGCGCGGCCCGCTTGCTGTTGTGTGTGATCAGTTAAAAGGTAAACAGCCACCAAAAAGTCTGCTTGAATATGTAAACGGTTTTAGAAGACGCTTATCTTTAGCTGGTCAAGCAGTACGGAAAAATGTGGAAAAGGCGCAGATAAAGATGAAAAAGTTATTTGATCGCCAGTCTGAACAGCGCGTATTTAATCCTGGGGAACAGATTTTGGCATTGCTGCCTTTAGTGGGCTCTCTGTTCTGCGCAAAATTTGTGGGACCATATACTGTGGTGTGTGCACTGTCCGATCTTAATTATGAAATTGCAACTCCAGACAGAAAGAAAATAACCCAAATTTGTCATGTAAATTTATTGAAGCCTTTTTTCTCCCGCGATTGTCAACAAACTGATGTTAAATCATCTGCTGTGGTCAGTTCGGTGACTGAAGGGCCGGGTCAATCTTCGGTGGGAGAGAAGGAAGGGGTTAAGGTTCTAGACGATGCTGTAATGCAACCTCGATTAAAAAATTATGACACTTTGAAAGATTTGGAGAGGTTGTTGTCCCAGTTATCTGTTTTGCAGACAGCAGAGTTGTCACAGTTGATACACGAGTTTCCATCATTGTTTGGAGACGTTCCATCACAAACTCATTTAATAGAGCACGACGTGGATGTGGGTGATGCTTCACCTATACGCCAGCACTTTTATCGTGTCCCTTTTGAAAAACGTCTAAAGTTGGAGTCAGAGATTCAGTATATGCTGAAAAATAACATTGCAAAACCGTCTTGTTCGAGTTGGGCTTCACCGTGTTTGCTGGTTAGAAAACCGGATGGAACGTTCAGGTTTTGTACGGACTATAGAAAAATTAATAAAATCACCAAACCTGACGCTTTTCCACTCCCGAGGATGGAGGATTGCGTTGATCAAGTGGGCTCGGCGAGATATGTCAGTAAATTCAATTTACTTAAAGGGTACTGGCAGGTGCCTTTGACACCTCGAGCACAAGAAATCACTGCTTTTATAACTTCTTCTGGGCTGTACTCTTCTTCTGTTATGAGCTTCGGGTTACGCACCGCTCCAGCGACATTTCAAAGATTAATGAATCGTGTAGTGTCTGGTTTAGAAGGCTGCACGGTTTATTTGGACGACGTTATAGTTTACAGCGATAGCTGGGATCAGCATGTGACACTGGTACGAGAATTATTTTGGCGTCTAGTGGAGGCGAATTTAACCGTGAATTTAGCTAAATGTGATCTTGCACGGGCAACGGTTTCTTACTTGGGAAAGGAGGTGGGCCAAGGTATGGTGCGCCCTTTGTGAGCTAAGGTGAGCGCAATAGAGAATTTCCCTACTCCTTGTACTAAAAAAGAGCTCATGAGGTTTATTGGGATGGCTAGTTACGATCACAATTTTTGCCCCAATTTTTCATCGGTCATTTATCCATTGACTAATCTTTTAAAGAACTCCGCTAAATTTGAGTGGACCCCCCATTGTCAAAAAGCATTTGAGAATGTGAAGTTGCTGTTGACTGCTGCTCCTGTATTAGCAGCGCCCCACAGTGGTCTTCGGTTTGAGATTCAAGTTGACGCAAGTCAAGTGGGAGCAGGAGTGGTTCTTCTCCAGACTCATTTTGGTGGTATTAGTCATCCAGTTAGTTATTTCTCATGTAAGTTTAATTCCTATCAATTGAATTATTCTGTTATTGAGAAGGAAACACTTCAACACTTTGATGTGTATGTGGGGGGAGGGTCCTCAGTTGTTATCTATTCGGATCACAATCCTTTGACATTTCTTCACACATTACAGAGTCCGAGCCAACGCTTAATGAGATGGATACTTTTCTTACAGCCTTATAACTTGTCGATTAAACACATTAAGGGAGTTGAGAATGTTTCAGCAGACACCCTGTCACGTGCCCCCATGGTAGAGTGAGGAGATGGTGTTTCTGTCTCCAATTGATGTGAGTTGACCTACCTCTAAGTATACAAGTCATTATTATTATTATTATTATTATTATGTTTTGATGTGGGATTTTTTTTAAGGGGGGTGTGTTAGGATTGAGTTGTGTTGGTTTGGGTGTTTTGGTCTCTTTTTCTCTGTGGCAGGTTCTGTGATGCTCGTCATGGCTGTTATTTAAACCTGGTGCGAGAGTTCGTCAGGGCGGCTGCTCTTTTGTTGTTCGAGCAGTTTGCCAGAGCCGCGCTCCAAATTTGCGGCGTTATGTTTTGTTTTGCATCCATTCACTAGCGCTGACCACACTTCACTTTATGCATCCATTCACCTGCATTTCATACTGACTGATTTTACTGACAGGCCGACTGACTTTTGTGATTGTTGTTTTTGGTTATATTTTGTTGTAATAAATATTATGTTTTAAGTTATTCAGCCGTGTCGTCTCCCTTAATGTTACATCTTTGAGCCAGATGTGCAGCCATCATCGCTTGCTTTCATCAAAATGGCCTCACATGCAAGGAAATTGCTACAAAAATATTGCACCTGAAAATAACCATTTATCGTATCAACAAGAACTTCAAGGAGAGAGGTTGGACTGCAATGAAGAAGTCTTCAGAA